CAGAGCGCTTCGCATTCTTCCATCGAATGTGAGGATAGCAGCACTGCTCTGTCTCTATTCTGTTGTTCACTCAAATAGTCCCAAAGAAAGTGTCGAGCCTGTAGCAAAATTTTCGTGCTGATTGTAAGATAAGCACAAATCAAAAATACGAGATGTCACTATTAGTCGCTGTTAGTCACCTTGATTTGTTTTTTGTTTCCGCTTCTCTCCCACTCGGACGAAGAAGCCTTTGACTCCTTCCAGTTTACCTACTTCTGCCCCGACAGCCGTTTGTAGTGAGGCTCCTTTCGGCCTGCTTTCTGCGAATTTAATGGTGTTGCGCGCGAACCAAGGGGAGTTGTACTCGACCACGGCCACAATACTTCATAACCGACGCTAGTGACGAATTTTAGTGAGCTCAGACGGCCTCACTATCCAGTTCCGCCGTGACGGCAACTACGAAAACACCACTCGTCAGTTGTTTCAGAAGGTTTTTACAGATTAGAATGTATCATTGGATGCGATGTGACGAGCTGATCATAGCCATATACGAGTTTCCATGGAAAAAGTACAGGAACTGCGCTATAGCAAAAAAGACAAAAAATACGCAAACCGGCAATTACTCCGCTGTCCCTTTCAGCGCGTACGACGTAGTGTACTCTCCTTTTGCTGAGGCCACATTCAAAGTTATCGTTTTGGAAGGATAGGCGATTTTAAGATCAGAGGTTGCGCGGTGAGCATTGATAATCAGAATCGGGAAGTCAGAGGATTAGTGAATCAGCGAATCAGAGAGACGAATATGGGGAGTCCGCGAAACGGACTAAATACAATGATCTCTTTTAGTATTAATATGGGTCAAGTTCCCACTGCTTTCCAGTTCGCCTTCACTTTGACAAAGGGTATTCGCTGTTGTGGCTACTAGAACCCGATGTCGTTGTTTGAAAGGGTCAGTCGTAGATGCTATTAGGCCTAGAGCACACAGCATCACTTTATTCTGAGCACACAAACGGACCAGCTTAAAGATCCATTCATTCTGCCGGAAAATAATCTTCTTCAAAGTAGAGTAGACGCTTTCTGTTCATCCCACGCGCGCTAAGTTACTCAATAGCAGTGTTCTTCGAAAAAAAGTCATGCCAGCCACCACACTGGCTATGCGGAAGTGGGTAAGCGTGTATGATCGGTCACGAATAATAGGCAGGGTATAGCATCGTTGTGGGAAACCCATATGGGGTCGTACTTAAGCCGCTGGGGAGGGGGAGGGTCGTAAGCTCAAGGGTCAGTAAGCACCGGACAACGCTATGACGTTTCAGTTGATAGAAGAAGTGGAGCTATGAAAGAAGCGATGTTAAAGAAAATATTATATAAAAATTTCCTGAGTGTATTCTCGACTGTTCAGCGCTTCGTTCGTTCATCAGCCTTCTTTTCATGCAAAATCCCCAGAAAGGGGGACGTACTTGGCCGCAGGGAACGTGGGAGGGTCGCAAATGCAGGGTCGGTGGGCATTAAACAGCACAAAAGTGTCATTGCTAAGTTTGATGGAGTGAACGCAAAGCTGACCCGGAGGGAAGGAAGACTACAAAATAATAAAAAATTGATTAGCAATATCAACAGCTAGCATGAACTCGTAAGTGCGTAGATGACTAAATAGTACGTCTCAAACAGATTCGTGCGTATTGTCCTTTCCAAACCCTGAACAAACATCTGCTTGCATGGACAAAAATCACCCAAAATCAGAAGTTACACCTTTTCATCTGCGTAGAAGCGTGATGCACGGCGCACGTTCGGACCGAATCAATCAATGATAACCAAGCTCCTTTCGCTGATTTGAGCGGGAATATGTGTTTTGAAAGCATCTTGAAGCTCTTGAATGAGTATCCACATGATGGCACGAAAGGAGTCCAACTTTTGGTCTTTGGGGAAACCGTACAGTTTGTTGGAGAGAGAATAGATAGGGCTCTTCGAGGAGGGTTTTGGTCATGATGAAATTGCGTTCGAAATAAGTAATTCTCGTGTGAAGCATAAAAACCGCTTGCGATTTACCTAGCCTATCCGAAACCCATCCGAAATATTTCACGAACGGGGAATTCTTCAGATTGCAACTAGGTAGAAAACGGCAACAAGTAGGACGCAATTGTCTTTGCATGGCTGCCTACCATTCTTCAAAAGCTCAGCCATAAAAGAATAATAACGGCACTATTTACCCTTTACTGCCCCAATCTTCCGAAAACAGGCCAGTTTTTGACCGACTTTTTTCTGCTTCGGCAGAATTGGCTGAAAATTTGCACCCTTAGGTAGTTTGACCTCCTTAACATGAATATCACATCCGCTAGGCACGAAACCTCCTGGCGCCCGCGCCACGGGCGCCGGCGCCAAAATACCTTAAATCACCAAATTCGCTGAAAACTTGTTCTCAGGGGTAGTCTGACCTCCTGAACACGAATATCACATTCGCTCAGCCTGAAACCTCCTGGCGCCTGCGCTACAGGCGCTGGCGCCAAAAGTCCCCAAATCACAGGCGCCTGTGGCGCGGGCGCCAGGGTTTTCGGGCTAAGCGAATGTCATATTCGTATTCAGGAGGTCAAAATACCCCAGGAGACAACATTTGAGCCAAATCTGTCCACGGAGAAAAAAGTCGGTCAGAAAATGGCTCAATTCTGGATGGTTGGGGCAGTAAAGGGTGAAATAGTGCCATAATAACTTCCCGAAAAGACGGACGGTAGCTAGGCCAACAATTGCGCTCCAATGACGTTTTTCCAATGAAAGCGATTGCAGTGTTGCGACCGCTTTCATATCGTGACGATCGATGTACCGCCTATATTTTTTCATTCAGTTCCGCTTTTTTGTGGTTTTCATGTTTCGCTTTGGTCTCTCGTGCATGTTTTCACGATTAGGGGATGACTTCTATCAGAAGAGTAGCGTCCGGTGTTTAATTTCCCCGTCACCATCCACTGATTGCACATCTGGGGCCTGACACACTGACTTTGGGCTATTTTTTTTCACCAATTTTGCTTATCAATGATCACCATTGTTTGCTGTTTTAATAATGGTCCTTGTTATAAGTTGCATCTCATACATGGTTGCCGAACGACGACTTTTTATTTTTGAACCCTAAAACAAAATTGTTGGCAAAGTGAGGCTGTTGTTCAGCCTCATTATATGAGGCTGAACAACAGCCTCTTATTGCCTACAATTTAGCGGCTGTGCACGCAATTCCATATAGTCATCATCCTTGCCATATAGCAGCTCTTTTGAAGCCTACCTGTTCCACCTATCTTGGTGTGAACAAGATTCTTTGAAGTTGCGTCATCTACTGAACATGGAACATGAGTTTGTGCTATATCGAGCAAACCAAACCTTTGGATCAATGCCAGCTGTGGGTTCATCGAGTACAAGGAGGTTCGAGTCACTCAATATGGCCACACCAGCGCTTATTTTTCGTTTCTGTCCACCACTGGAACACACATATTGGAAATATTCAGGCAACGGGCTATGGGCTTTGTTTGAAAGCGACCTCAGCCTATTAAAGCTCTTTCGACAATGACTGGTCATACGCAATTGTCGCAGAACCTCGTTCACCATCTTTCTAGGATGTCTATATCCTGAATAACTATAACTTTAGTATGGTTTTATAGTTGTTACTCGGAACACGCTTTCACCTGTCATTCCTGCTATAATCAGCATGTTCTGATAGGAGGAAAGAGTGTCAGCCAGCGAATCAAACTGAGGACAGAATCCGATTTTCTTGAAAAGATAAACATCTCCATCACGTGAAGTTTCGATATTATGATAACTGCTGTTTTACGCCGCAGTTCGCGTTCCGAAAGTTATCACAAGAATGCTGAGTTATGGGCAAAAGTCGAACCCCAGGCGGGAGTCGAACCCGCACCTCACGCTTTCCGGGCGAGTGCGCTATCCGTTACGCCACCAGGGCCGCTTTTACCCTCTCAGCTCAACGGCTTTTATGCCGTAGCCTTACAGCACTCACACGTTTAACATGGTGAGCCGGTCAGCCGTGCCAAACGTGTGAGTGCTGTAGCTGTTTCGGCATAAAAGCCGTTGAAGCTGAGAGGGTAAAAGCGGCCCTGGTGGCGTAACGGATAGCGCACTCGCCCGGAAAGCGTGAGGTGCGGGTTCGACTCCCGCCTGGGATTCGACTTTTGTCCATAGTTCAGCATTCTTGCTAACTAATTGGATATAAATCGCTACGTTTGCCTTTTGGTTTTCTTGCTAGCTTCTTTGACCGGGAACTCGGCACGATCCTAGCGGTTGCCAAAACAGAACAAGATCGGGCAAACAAAACCTCTGGATCCTTGGATGTACAACAGACAGTATACAGGGGGGCCAAAAAAAAGTCATTTTGCCTCCATGACTTTCAAGGCGCTATAAGTTACACTTTATTAAATTTTTATCGGACATTTTTACTACCATATTAAAGAGCACATTAAATACTATAATGATACTCCGCCACAGCCTTCTGGAGGAGCGCCATCGAGAGATTCGGCCGCGCGAAAGTGAGTGGGTACCGGAGTTGAGCGAGATCGTTGATTTCTCCGCCACTGTAGACCACCCTGTTGAGCTCCGCCCGAACCGAGTAATTGAGGGGGTTTAGTTCAGGACCCCCGCTTAAATACTCCATCTTTTCCAGGTACTCAATTTTTCCAACGCCCTTCGATTAAATGTGTTGTCACCCAATCCTGTAGCAGTACAAAGTTTCCAAGAAGGTACGGGCGACGACATGAAGATGGGATATTCTCCTCGAGTTGCTCGATGTAGCCACCAGCGCACACCCTCAGTCTGGGGCCCACGAAGAAAATATCGGTTCATCCATTCCAGGTACGGCCGGTCCACACCATCAACCCGCGCCTTGGTGAATGGGGTGAAGATGATGTCCTGGACCGTAGCGACGTTGCCGGAGCTGCTCGATGTTTGAGGTCTTGCAGATCAAGAGTACTGGTCTCCAGGTAGCTATCCATGGGTGATTCCATTCAAGAAGTTCCGCAGCTGTTTGGAGGCCACGTGAATTCCAAAGGCGTTCTCCACTCAGGCCGCGACTGGAGATGACTTCATATTTTGGTGTACATGAAGGTGAATGGCGGCAGCCGGCTCCTGCTTATAGAGGAAGATCTTGGGTATCTTCCGCCCTGGTACTCATATCCACTTCCTCTGTCTGGGCTGCGAAAACTTCGCTCATATGTGACTCGGCCGGAATGACTTTTTTTTGCCCCCCCCCCCCCCCCTGTATGTGTACCGCAGTATCAGGGAAAAGTGGTAGAATTGGGAAGGAGCGGGAGAAATGGGTAGGTGACGGTAGGACTGTGCGGCTTCGCGCACGACAGTTGCAAATACGGTATGATTACGATATTTCAAGAGGGCAAGTCAGTTAAAAATTGGTGGAAGATGTGCAAAACACCCGTAGCGAAACAGAATATGTGTACCACAGCGGAGGAGGGAAAAATTCGAAAAAAAGTTTTTGATGTTGTCGCTGTTTATTGACGTCACCGCGGCGGCAGGGAAGAGCGAGAAGCGATGTCTTGACCTTCGCCATGGTGCAAAAACCAGCAGTCACTCTTATGTGGAAAGAAAAAGGAAGAGAAAAGAGGTTTGAACAAACAGTGGTTGCTTATAAGTGCGATAGGCAGCGTTCAAACTTCGCGATCGAGGAGCGACGCAATCGCGAAGTCTGAACGCTGCCTCAGTAGTAGTGATGAGCAGAGAATAGAGAAAAGTCGACTATCAGGACGAGTTACTTGAATCGATGCAAAACTGGTAAAATAGTACCCTTCGGCTGCTAAAACTACGCAAACAACCCTTACGCAAACGTTATAAGGTGAGAACGAGGAAGGATTGGCAAATTGCCAACAGATCATAGCGACCTTAGAACGTTAGAAAGTTTGCGCAAGAGCTGTTAGCGTCGTTACTCCAACCGAAGGGAACTATTTCGCAAGTTTTGCCATTGACTGAAGTCACTCGTCCCGATAGTCGACTTTTCTGTATTCTCTGCTTACCACTCCCTCTAACTCACCTATAAGCATCAACTATTTGTTCAATCCTCTTTTCAACTGCTGATTAGAGCACAGTGACGGAGGCGCAGGCCATCATCCCTTTCTCCGTCGCGGTGACGTCAAAAAACTCATACGCGCAAAGGTGAAATTCCCCACGGAGCCATGGAGCCGTACCGCAGCGACAGGGAAAAGTGGTAGAACTGGGAAGGGAGGGCGGAATGAGTGTGGACGGTAAGACTACGCTGCTACGCGTGCTACACACGCAAATACGTTATGATTGCGATCGACACGCTCGCGATGGTTCTGTTATCACGATGTTGACATTTCGCTGCTATTCTTTTGAACAGCACAGACCGTCATACATCAGCAGAACGAGAATAAGTACAAGCTCTGAGAATGTGCTGCTAAGAGAGCCTTGTGAAAATGGCTAGGCATCAGCAGGTTAACGTAACGGAGACGCGAGTATAATCTGTGCAGATTTTCCTGCACCTTGATTGTTTCAGTCATACAAATAAAATAAAAGCTAATGGCCACGACAATGCGGGTTCTACCAGAATGAAGAGCGTGGCTGAAAACTGAAGCGAGCACAATCTTTATCGAATAACGCAATGATATCGCGACTGTGCGCTCCATCGCAAGCTGGTTTTTACAAACTGCCGCGCACGACGTCGCGTGGTCCTAAAGGCGGTTTCCCGGGGTGGAATCCTACTATATATAATCCGCTATGTGTGTCTGTGTGTGTGTGTGTGTGTGTGTGTGTGTCACGAAATTCATAACACCTGTCCCAGTAACAGTGAGACTTTGGTTCCAAGAAGTGATGGAGGGGGTGTAATAGGAACATCATTTGTGGGTTGTAGGAAGTGTTATCAGCTGATAAGATCCGATAAGGGGCGTCCAAAGGGTACGGTCACCCAGTCTATAGTGCAGGTCACAGCAGCAATGGGACTTTAGTTCCGAGATATGATGTAGAGAATGAGACAGTAAGATTATTTGTGGGTTACTAGAACTTTTAGCAGCTGATAAGATTCGATAAGGGGCCTCAGAATGTTATGGTCAACATGCTCATAATGCGGGTCACAGCAACTGTGGTTCGTTGATTCCAAGGTATGATATAGGGTATGGCACAGGAACATTATTGGTCGGTGACAAGAACTGCCAGGAGGTGATAAGATTTGATAAGGAGAGATAGAAAGGGAAGGTCAGCACAGTCATAACACAGGACACAGCATCAGCTAGGCGTTGATTTCAGAAATTTGTATAGAGTGGGAGATAAGAACATCGACGGCGGGTGACAGGAGGTGATAACAGCTGATAGGGGCTGATAAGGAAAGTTGCCGTTGTTGTTCAGTCAAAGTGTTGGGGCTTTGACACTACCAAATTATAGAGTTTTAGTGATAGGAAATTGATGATGGGCGACAGGCAATCTTATCAATTGATAGGTTATGATAAGGGGTCATTCCCATTACATCTCTTACCACTACAATGCCAAGTATTGAAGGCTCAGTGTGCAAACTTTTCCTTCAGCCATCACTTCTCTGATAGCAATAGAAAATGAACTCATCCCACTATCCTATTATGCAATGTCGATGTCGACGAGCGGGGGGGGGGGGGGGGGGGGTATATAGTTCGAGTGAAACAGGAAAGTCAGGAAATTGGGAGAAAACCGAAAATTTACATAATGAGGATTGAGGCAGGCTTTATGCGTTCAATAGGACGAGTAATAAGGGAGCATGATACCTACAACTATTTGTACTTCAGCAAAAGGGTTGCACGGTGATTGAAAAGGGAAGCGTTATTAGGTAGGGATTCAGGTGCAGTTAATGGAATCTGTTCTTCTACTGAGCGATTCATATTGCTTTGTATTGGCCGACTGCACATTGTATCTATATCTACACATTTATGTATTGTATGGGCGTTGTGGCACGGACCAAACTACCACTGCGAATATAAGCGTAGCTAGGAGTGCAGGATCCGCAGAGTTGCTGTATCTATTACGATTCGATCACTACAGTGCCGCATGAGCAGCCCACTGTCGAAAAAGTTGCGTTCAAATTATGCGCGCCTGGCGAAGCCAGGCCAGCTCGGCGAAGCCGAGCTAAAGAGAAGGAGGAGAGCTCGGCGTCAGCCGGGCGATCCGACTGGTATATGATAAGGAGTGAAAAATGAAATGGAAATACGAGTGGAAAAACTAAAAACAAAAGCGGAAACGAGCGCTGATACTGCACGTGCTTTTTTCCCATCCGTACGCTTGAATAGCACAGACGTGGAAAGTATGGAACAGTTTGTTACTTGAAATGGTGAGATAATAACTCGGGATGAAAGAGAGAGATAATAACTGTAATCCTTCTGTAGACATCACGCCAAAAGGTGGATGTACAACTCACGGGAACGCCTGCCACAACACAATTGTTGAGCAGCACTTTGCCATAGTTAGGGAAAGTCAGCCCGACAATAATGTTGAATGTCGTTGTCTTGCCAGCTCCGCTAGCTCCAACCATTCCGAAGCAATCATTCTGGCGGATGTCGAACGTAATTCCTTTCAACACTCGTAACTTTCCGTAATATTTTACGAGATCCTGACAAATGAGAAATGAGTAATGTTATTAGGTTACCCGTTTTCAAAATGGCTCGCTTTGGACCGGCGAGCTAGATGCAACGGCGCTGTAGCGAGGGCGCCAG